TGTACAGTATTATCAACTAACGCTTCATCTGTGAGAACTTAATTGAACAGTATTAACCCATTTGCATGTACATAGTTCTTCACGTGGTGTAAGGTTGCATCCTGGACTTGTAGGTTACTTCATTTAACAGTATAGAAATAAGCTGCCTGGGTTTTTTTATTTCTTTTTTTTAATTCAGGCTCCACACAAAACAAAGCAGTTTACAAATGCATAAGTAGAATGATAGTGATATCAAAGGAAGTTTTAAAACAATTCAGCTTTCTAATACTGTCTTGAAGGAATCATCCGTTTTCCTACTCCTACTCCTGGAACCAATTTAAAATGAGAATCGTGGAGGTAGAGGTATGTTTGTCCCAAACTACTGTGATGTTTTTTTTTTTTCCCCCTAGCTTGCTTTTTTCCTGGATTATTAAATGTATCTTCTTCAGGCCTTGCTGTTGCCATGTTTGAGAGTTTGGCTGCTGAATTTCAGGGGGGTATTTAATTCCTTATTCCTGTATATCTGAGGAATCCACGCAGGTGGTCAAATTAGTTAATTAAAGAAGATTACCTGTTTGCTGACCTAAAGTGTGCCTACTGCAACAGCAGGCAGATACAGTCTGAAATGGGTCTTAGTGCTGAATCTCAGGTTGTTTTAGGCTGTTTGTGGGATTCCAGGAAGATGCCAACTCTGGGTATAGGCACTGGGAAGTGTGGCAGTCCTTTGAGGAAGTTCAGCCAGGCTCCTAACAGATGCTGATCAAGTGCGTTGGACCAAAACTGGAGTGTCTAAAGTTAGACTAAGAACAGATTTAGCAGTCTTACTAAATGAAGAAATCCTGACGTACGTTACTGTCTATCTTCAGCTCCCATTTAACTTAGTGGGATTTGCATTTGATGAACAGCCTAAAAGGTCAGACATCTTTTAAATAGAAACACAATCTCAGTTTCAAAGACCAGGAAACTATAGTTTAGGCTTTTAAGAGCCTTGCAATGTGTGGATATATCTTGATTGAGGAAGGGAGACAACACGGTAAAACCAGTTGATCTATTTGAGTTTAGACTGGGTTTCTAACCAGATGTGGTAGGGGGGCAAGGAGAAGGAGAGACCATATTTTGCTACTTGGTTTTGTCCCAGTTTAATTTTAAAAAAACAATGTACCCTCAAACATTTCACTTGTTGCTTTTTGTTTCCCTAGATGATATTGCTAGAATGTGTAGCCTGGTTATGGCTCAAGAAAGCAAATTTCAAATATCATATAAAGGAGATATAATTTCAAAAGAAATGCATAATTTTGAGAAAATCTCTTACCGTCTTGTCAACAGAACTCTGTTGGTACATCTGCAAACATCATGTAAATTCTTTGGACTTATGAGGTCAGTTTTATTTTGCCAGTAAGTTGCAACCTTTAAGGAGTAACTTTAGCTCTGCTTCTCCCAAGTGAGCAGCAGTTGTGTTACAGCATGTATATAAGCATGCCAACTTTTAATGCTTTAGATGGACTTGGCAGCTTACCAGGCCTTTATACATTTTGCTCAGTTGAAGTCTCAGGAGTATTCTCACATGTGTGAGACTATATTATATGATACGCATATATACTTATATGCAATATAATTAAAATTAACTTTTTGTTCTATTTTAGACGCACCAATTTTAATATTCAGTTTTTCATATATATGTTAAGCTTCGAAATTCATACTAAATTGGTAGCCCTGTAGTGATCAGCAGACAAATTGGCTGAGAAAAATATGCTGTTAAAGACAGTCCTTTTTGGGCAACTAATAAATAACTGGAGGAGTTGAAGAACAGAAGCCTCATGACAAGCAGCAGCACAACAAAGATGAATGCAGTATGTTGCACCTGGGGCAAGGTGACTGCCCATCAGTGCTAGAAGGTGGCTGGGTAGTGGCATGAAGAGGAACCTGTCTGCTCTCTACTTATGTGACTGACTGCACTGGGTGCTGTTTAGCATGGAGAATGCTAAGAAGGAACCTGCCAGGCTTTTGCAACCTAAAGAGAGGGCCAGGCTCTTTTCAGACGTGCACAGCAAATGGGCAAGAGGCAATGCCACAGACAGGATTAAGTGGATTGCATAAGAGAAAATTCTTCACTATGAGAGTGAGTTTTGAGCCCTGGAACAGGTTGCCCAGAGGTTGTGGAGTCTCCGTCCTTCAAGGCTCTCAAAACTGTCTTTGGCAAGACCCTGAGCAACCCGATTGAACTTAAAAATTACCCCTGTGTTAAAAAAGTGTTTGCAGTAGGTGACTTCCATGGACACCTCCAACCTTTTTTTTCTTCTTCCCATTTTTTTTTTTCCTCCTGTGATTCTGTGTCAAGTTTTAAGTTTAAGGGCTTTGTTGTAGATAGGCCAGCTCTGCAGCATAATCTGTATTTTAGCTAGAAGTACTTGGCAATACAACTTTCTGTTGTAATACTCTTTCAATTTTAATTCTATGGGATGGTTCTGTTTTGACTTGATGCTGTTGGCTGTGTAGGATCTATGGGTGCTAGTCATCAGCTGAAGCCAGTGTCTCACCGAAGCAGTTAATCTTTGAGAAAATGGGATTTTATTGGAGCTGCTCTGTTTCTGCTGTTGCTCCTTCTGTATAAAAACTTTTTATTTATTTATTTTTTTAAAAGACAAAAATGTATTTGAAGTCTACTGATGCATTTCTGGTTCCATTATGTTTTATTACAGGATCTTCTTGTAAGACGTTGAGTAACAGTGTAATACTTGAGAGCTTTTGTCTCCATAAAAAAGAGAGCTTTTCATGCCAAATTTAATGGTATAGGACCCAAAGCAGCAGCAGCTCCCAGCTTTCCGTGCTCGTTGTTTATTCTCTTAAGATAAATCACTTGACTTGGAGTTTGCGTTAGTGACAGATTAAGCTGCCAGTGTAAACATTGTAGGATTGAGTAGTTTGAAAGTTGTGTGTAATTTTGTGAAGGAACTAAACCCGCAAGTATCCGGAAGCAATGTAATGTTGCATGTGTTCAAAAATATTTTGCAATGTTCATGAGGAAAGGAAGTAAGTATTTAGAAAAGCATTGGTGAAACGGTAACAATTTATGATTCTTAATTTTTGTTTACTGAAAATAATTCTTGACACATGGAGCTTTTTTACTGGAATTTACAGGAAAAGTTGGTCCTGAAAGTGGGAGGGAGACACTTGCGTTATTGTACAGCCCAAAACTGTCATTATTTATAATTGGGTAACCTTTCAGTTTACTTTTGACAGTAGAATTGTGCTACAGTGAAAATGTTTTGGTTTAAAGTCTCCAACTTTGGAGTCTATTCATGAAACGCTAGATATCTTTAGTTTTTAAAAGAAACACTAAGTAGTTCTCAGTTTCCTGCAACTAATGTCCGTATATTAAAAATGGACCTTTAAAATTTATAATTTGAAATTGTGATGTTCACCATCATTCTTTGAAATGTTCTTTCTTAGTCCTTGCTGTCAAGTTATCATTCTCTTTGTTAACACTGCAGGGATGATGACACAGATTTTGAACATAGGTCCATCCTGGGGGATGCTAAACCTTCATTAAAAGGGAGAGGCCAACCACTGTTTACTCGACAAAACCAGCCTGGGTTAGATGAACTTGCAACCCAGAGAAATAGATCCATAGTAAAACATAGTATTCATGGCAGCATTACTGATTGCTTGTTATTTATTTTTTTTTTTTTTTCACTTTTTAATGTTTTTTTCCCACATGTAGACCCTGCAGACTTTTTGGTCAGTTCAGATCACGTGTAACTTTAGCAACACGTTATGTACAGAAAACTTGAGGAAAGCTAAATAGAAATAAATAAATATTATCTTTCCCT